AATTTTAGTTGCACGAGCGAACGCAAACTTCATGCCACTTAAAGTGCGAGAGTTGCTGGCTAAGTGCACTGCGGAAAACCAAGAAGTTTTCAAGCATGACCTTAAAAATATGTATAAGACTTGCGTAGAATATCTGATCAAGTGGATGACGCCTTTAGATGATTTCAAAGTCTTTAATTGGTTGATGCTGAAAAAGGGCCAAATGATCGACTTTGATCAGATTGCTTTATCAATTCATTATCTAAATGGAAAAGGAATACACATAGATGATGTGAAGTTATTCGATGAAATTGCATCTCTGAATAGTTTTTTGACAAAACAGGAAGAAGCATTTTTTGACGTAATGCTTCATGCGTTGTGGGCAAACATTTTCAAGACAATAGGTATTTCACGATTGCCAGAGATACTGCGTATTTGTCAATATATATTTGCAATAACAGCTCAAAATGCAAACGTAGAAAGAGTTTTTTCTATCATGGGAGCTCAATGGTCGAAAGAAAGAAACCGACTAAACGTGTCTTCAATTCGAGCTCTACTTTTAGTTCAATATAACTTGAAGAGTTTAACTTGTGAGGCATTTTATAAATCAATAATCAAAGAAAAGAATTTACTTAAAAAAGTTTCTTCAAATATTAAATACGACAAAACTAATTAAGTACCTATTTGGATAAATAAGTATTGATTTTACCTGCAAATGTTAGTAACATTATTTTTAAGGATGATTATTGAAGATGATTATTTTTAGTTTGTTTTACTTTGATAAATAAGGATTGATTTTAACTGCAACTGCAATTGTTACCAAAAGAAGATTGTCTTTAGTTCGTTTTACTTCGATAAATAAGTATTGATTTAACTGCAATTGTTACCAAAAGAAGATTATTTTATGTTTGTTTTAAATTAATACATAAGTATTGATTTTAACTGCAATTGTTACCAAAAGAAGATTATTTTAAGTTTGTTTTAAATTAATACATAAGTATTGATTTTAACTGCAATTGTTACCAAAAGAAGATTATTTTAAGTTTGTTTTAAATTAAGACATAAGTATTGATTTTAACTGCAATTGTTACCAAAAGAAGATTATTTTAAGTTTGTTTTAAATTAATACATAAGTATTGATTTTAACTGCAATTGTTACCAAAAGAAGACTGTTTTTAGTTCGTTTTACTTCAATAAATAAGTATTGATTTTAACTGCAATTGTTACCAAAAGAAGATTATTTTTAGTAGTTTAATAAGAGAGATCTTTAAAATGTAACCTGTATTTTATTAAAAATCCTGAGATATCACTAGATTTGCTAAATCCGGCCGGAATCCTGAGAAGAGTCGAAAAATCCTGAAATCTCAGGACAAATCCTGAGATATGGTAACCCTATGTGCAAGTGAGTACGAAATGCGAGACCGCATCACAAATGCTTTCCAGAGCCGGAAACCGGAGCGATTCTAAGGTACCTACGCATTTTTCTTTATCATTTATCAGTTACCATGTTATGATTGTTAGATTTTTTTTGTAAGTAATGCAGCTATCTTTTAAATAATAATTTATTGTTATTAAAACGTGGCGCGAGCGCGATTATAACATTGTCTTTTGTAAGTAATGCGGCTATCTTTTAAATAATAATTTATTGTTATTAAAACGTGGCGCGAGCGCGACCGTTTGTCTGAACGTAAGGTCGCGGCGCTGCCCATAGTGTAAAGTAATAATACTAAAAGCGCTGCCGTTCGCTGCGTGCGTTTGCGGTGGTAGCGATACATTGCGTGTAAGGTAATGAAACAAATCGGTTTAATTGGATTCCCATAACGTTCCTGAAATAATTTCATGTACCGGTCAACATAAGACGATATACTGAATCCACCCTATCAGTTTGCGGAAGGCTGTCCCTTACACCCTGTATAGCAGAAAAGTCTCATTATATTTCTTAATTTTGTTTCTAGGTCCTTCGTTTTTATTGGAAGATTTTAACAACGCCAAGGTGGGAATTGACACTGATCGGTTCAAAAAATAGAACAAAAATAATGTAACTAATGATCGGTAATCAGCGATGTTTGTAGTGCTTTCAAATAACCTTCACTAGACAACACTAAGAACCAATTTGCACAAACAGAATTTGAGGTTAAGTACACACAACGTGCCAAGACCAGACCTCTAACCCAAAACCTGGTAGAAAACCCAATTTATGAGATTGATAATGACATTTTAGTATGTCAAAACTTACTTCGATTAAATAATCTCTCGGTCTATAATCATCGCATAAATTAATCATGACTCACTGTGCTTTTTTTAACCGACTTCCAAAAAGGAGGAGGTTATCAATTCGACCGTATATATGCTTTTTTTATGTTCGGTCGCCGATATCTCCGTTATTTATGAACCGATTTTGATAATTATTTTTTCGTAGGATAATAGCATGTGTACGTTAGAACAGATACGATATAAAATTGATTACAATCCTATGGAAAACTTCTAAAACTCGTCAACTACAATTAGATTATATTCATGTATCATTAAAATAAATAAACAATAAAAATATTTTTACATCGTAGCATACACATTGATAGTATTGTCAAATATTGAAGTTTCTGAATGTCATTTCACAAGGCGTAATTGTATTTCCCAACATTATCAGATTAGCTGATAAATTTTCAACTATATTGTTTTGTTTTTAAGTTGAAAATTTAATAAAGGATTTGCAATCCGATATATGGATTGTGTAAAAATTAATTTGAATACGAAAATAAAAAGAGATTGTAATAAAAAAAGTACCAACGAAGAAGGTATTGCAACCTCCTTTCTTTTTTCGCGATAGAACAAAAAGAATAGTTTTGGGATAATCCAATTACGAATTTCCTTGCAAATAGAACACCAGAATGGACTGCACTTAAATTAATAAGAATCTTAAAGCTAGAATAAATACTTAGTTACATAACGCTTGGAACACAAATATAGGGCCAAAAATGTGTTTTTGGTAACTTGTTCAAAGTTGTGAATTTCTTATATATTTTACTAGAATCAAAATTCAAAGGTTTTAAAGTCTTGAAGACGTCCAGTAAGTAGTTTTATTTTAAAAACTAAGCTACTTCGTTCACGACCGCATATCGTAAGCATACAAAGATATTTAGTGGGCAGATTAATAATATGTAAGAATGCCATAGTTATGGGACCTAACTGATTCCCAAGTTAAGCCATTTATAATACTTGAGTTTGTTTCAGACCTTCAGAAATCACCTGCCTTTTTTTAAAAGGGTTACTCGTTCCTTCTCCTTCTCCGGGACGAGCCCGCACTTGAATACGAGACCCTGAAATATCAGCATTACTGTGGTTTTCAGAGGTATTTATAAAAGAAAAAAAACTATTCTTTAGTAGTGATATTGTTCCGAACGAAACAGTTGCTGAGATCTAGTTTTAAGTTATTAGTAAAATAATTACCTTTACGGCCGCAAATTCATAAGTCAGCTTAGAAAAATGCAAAAAACATGTCACATATTACATAAAAAATTTCGTCATGGTATAAAAGATGTGTCAATATGTCATGCCGTTATAATACGCTTACAATACGACGTCGCGGGTAAAGAGGCTAGTTTTCAATATAATTTTAATCTGGTTTAAATTTTATACCTAACTCTAGTGGTGTTTGGATTGCCAGTAAATTATTTTAAAGGCTTAAAGGCACCTCGTCCAACTTTAGGACAAAGGACGGCCGTAAAGTACTGGGAATATCATATCGTACCTCTTTAGCTTTCGAGATACCTAGTACATTTTATAGTATACCTCTTTGAAACTTATTTATTGAAGGAAAATATTTTATGAGACTCGTGTAGAGAGGTAAATTGAAACATTGTACGATCAATGCAAACTCTTTTGAGCTCGGTTTTAAAAAGAAATTATTTAGACAGACTAATGAGGTATAGAAAATCAATATACATACATAACAAAGTTCCTCGGTATCGCCAAAGATTGAACTTTTAAAATATTCCCCTTCAATAAGACTTTATTATTATTGCTCATGGTATCGATTTCAATGTTCCGCTAACACGTGCTTCTAATAGGCTACGTAAAACATTACAAACTATTTGCATCTAAAAATATACTGTGCGTTCATTTTAGAAAATTCAATTTCACCAATTAATGTCCCGAACATTTTTTGTCACATTGAAAATATTAAGGCATTCTCTCACCCCCAAATTTTCCTTCATTTTAATCGAACCATTACCGCTTTAGCTTTATAAAAACAACAATTGAAAGTAAAAGTATAAACTAAATGAATTTCTACTAAATAAAAGACAACGTGACTGTCTGAATATACGTAATTACTTTCTAATTAACTCTTTCTAAATCCTTATAAGGACCTCCTTGTTTTGTCAGAGTTTTACGCTCATCAGAAAAACGAAAAATTATCTACATTTATAGATGTATCGTCAAAATTTTATTTACAAATCATCGTTTGGCAGTGACCAGCTGGTCTCCTCGATATTTACAACAATCCTCTACATTAAATTTTAAATCAATGTAAACAAAACCTACACCTAAAATAAGTTATAGTTTTCAAGATATTTAATGGCATTATGTAAAGCTTAGTTACGATTTTCAAAAGCGATAATTCAGCCAGCTATACTTACTTTCCTAGTTTGATCACACCTTCGTAGTTTTTATTCGAATTCACAACAAAATTTTAACTAAAACCTTAAAGAGTTTATAATCAGACGATTTATGCGTTTGAACAAGCATGACTGATCAACGGGTGATACAATTATTTTTACAAATAAATACATTATGCAATAAATTCTACGGTGCACTCTGGAATATATATACAAAACCACATAAACTCCGCTCCTAATAGCATCTGATTATTTTTCACACATTTATGCATCAATGTTTATTTGTATTTCGCAACCAAAAGGATATGATTTCCAGGAAATTTTACTGCGCTCCAATTCGTCTTATCATAATTATACAGAATAGAACTCAAAATTGATGTGCTAACTTTTTTTAGTTACAGGGTGTAAAAATATCAGATGCTATTTGAAATGAAGTTTGTATAGAGACGACAAGAGAAAAATCTTAATAAATACTTAGAAGGAAGTCATACGAATTTAAAATCTGTAAAACAAAACACTGCTACTCCATCTAGTTATAGTTCATTCACTTTACCATCGTCTTTGAGACAGCCTGAGGCGAAGAGTCAGGGTCTTGCGTCGTTCGAGGATTCGACATCGCTGGAACTACTCGACACAGATTTCTTAGGCTTGTATTCAGTTATAACGACAGTTACCCCACTCACTGTCACCTGGCGACAAAGGCTTTACTGTATTTTGATTTGTAAGCGTCGGAACTAATCTGGACGACAATGGTGGTAACGGCATTAGTGGTCGTACGTATACATTCGATTTAATGAGATACGTGTTAGTTACGATGACAAAAATGTAGATCTTGTGCGGTACGGGATGTTTTTGTTTAGGTTTCTTTCCGTTTCTAGAGCAGTCTAGAAATTGGTTTCGATTTACCATGGTAATTGGCAGCACAATATATTCTGTTGCACATTTCTTAATTATGTTAGTGCTTTAAAAATCTGCATTAACTTAATACTAGAGTGTGTCCAAAACTTGATGTATTTCCAAAAGACAAATGTCAAATAAAACAGAATGAACAAGATGGCAAGACTAAAAGGGAAGCTAGGTTTTCATGTTGGTTGAGTACTCGAGCAAGTTTCAACTGAATGTCTGAACTGAACGGTGGTCGAATATCTGACAACTTTTAGCAAATGCTTTTCAGAAGAGAAATCATGAACATCTATGTGAAGGCGAATAAGGTTACCCTCTTTACAAGGCACTGGAGAAGTGTCAGTAACTTATAGGGAATAAGAACCAAATCTGGTTAACTAAAGTCTCCTTGTACCTTGTTTTTCTATTTTACTAATTATGGGGAGACACAGAGACCTCAGATGTGTCTAGATGTTTTACCTACGTGAAACAAATTCCTTATGTTCTTCAAACTACCACTTTTATGGTAAGTTTTCAGGCTTGCCGAGACTTGCCAAACGTCTACTATCACAAGCGTATGAACAGTGTGTTTGGCGTGGCTTCCATGAGCTTGCAAGGGCTTGTCGGCAATACGGTCCGGGGTCGGTGTTTGGAAACAGATGAGAGGAAATTTATGACAAGCGTTTGCATCGCATTCACGCGTTGGCGATTTGTAAGGACTTGGCGTGTGCCAAGTCTACCATTACAGGGCTTTGAGGGATAGAAGAATTATTCTTAGTCATCTGACCAACAATAATACATATCTATGTATACCTACCTCTCTAGTCTGCGCTGAGCTCCTGTCCACATTGCTCAGTCGGGGCGGTCGACGTTTTTTCTTGAGGGAGTTGGCGGAACGCGGTCGTTTCTGTGAGCTGGTGGGTGCTGTGCCAGCTGCTTGAGCCGCCACCAGCGCTGGGTTGATGCGAGGCTTGCGGGTCGATGTGCCTAGAGAATTTACAAATTACGTCATTGACTGCCGACTGATTACTGTTGAGGGTAAGTCCTACGCTAGCGAGGCCCACATTTTGTCCCCCATAGCGTTGAAGGATGGATAGCTAGATTGGTGTAGTGAGGCAATATTTTATTGTAAAAATAAAGACGTTTCCACACACTAGCATTTTCTCCTACGTTGTAGGTACTTTTACAAACATACAAATTCACATACACTTCACACCCCAACAAGGAAAAACTATTTGTTGATCACACAAAGAGTTTTTCCGTCCGGGAATCGAACCCGCGACATGTTGCGCGGCAGTCAGTTGCCCAGCCACCACGCCAAACGTGCAGTCAATTAAAAAGGACATCAGAAAAAATAAACTTTTTGAATGGGGTTTTCTTTTGGTTGGCTATGAGCATGTGAAACAAATATATGTAAGTAAGCGAATATCAAGAGTGTTTGTAGATCAAAGCCTAACTACGTATGAAATGTTTATAAAAAAATCGTTTAGTTATCGCGAGAAAGAGCAAAAAACATCACACCTCCCTTGCTCAAAGCAACCTTTAATTTCATAAGTACGATATAATAGAATTACACAAGTTTATACCACACAGATATAAACAGAGTTTATGAAGGTATTTCCTTGATAAATACATGGCCATAAAGTAAATACTTCAACAATTGATTTAAGTGAAAGGCTAAGCTAGATCTTGACATATTTCACGAACATATTCTTAGTAAATACTCCACGACCTGCGATAAATTGGAAAACAAAATAGCCGAGTCTAAGTTCCCATCCCAGTACACATAAGAGCGAATATTGTAGATATTGTAAGCATTTATGTCCGAAAATAGCTCCTATAGTATATCAAGGCATTATAGTTCTGATTGTGGAGCTGTGTGGATATAAACGGGGTTTGTAGCCCGTGGGGCGAAAACGCCGAGAACCGAACTCCACGCGTCCCTTGCCAGACGAATTACTAAGTGAACTCGAATGTAAATTTTGTGGAAACGACGATACGTCAGTTCGAGTTTATTGCATTAACTAGTTACCAACACTGAAATACTTATTAATTTCATTACAAAAATACAACTTAAGGTATTTTTACAGTAAATGTAGGTTGGCAAACGAGCAGACGGATTGACACTCGCAACGCCAAAGAGTAACGAGTGCGTTGGCGGCCTTTTGGGGATAAAGATTTCGGATATAGTACAAACTAAAACTACCAATAAAATATTTTTTACATATTATCGACCGTTTTTAAATACCTAGTTCTATTTTTGTACGTTTTTTATACACTTTACAATGTTATGTACGGGAAAAGAAACAAGGAAGGACGGTCACTAAATGCGAATTAAATATTCTGTTACATAGAGGAAATCGAATAATTTACGAACTGTTCTACGAAACTTATCACAACAACTAGGTAACAAGTAGAATTCTTTGAAAATGATAAAAAGATATTATTATTGCGAATTAACAAATTCCATTCAATTGGATGGATCAGTTATAACATCAAAAACAACTATGTTGGCTGTAATAACATCGGGATCAACGAAATAACGTACCGCGGCCTCGGTCTGAAGCAGGAGAAGGAACGAGGGGGGATTTTAGTCAGTATGAGTCTGACACTCCCTCTTGCCATACCCTGGCTGAAAAAGTCAATTGATGATTTTCCCTCCACAAAAAAGGCTTAAATAACATACCATAGATACTAATACTAACATTCCTTTGAACTTTTGTATCACAAACAACATTTTTAAGACATTAACAACGAGGCATTTCTCACTTATTAGAGTCAAATTTCGATAACAAGTCGAACTTTCGAGAATTGACAGTAACACGCGAAATGCCGGGAATTTGTGTGAAACGGTCGGGTGGAACGTTCTAGAAACAAAAGACGGTACCGAGGGTAGATTTACTAGTACTTACATACTTAGCGACGTAAATCGGGATTTAGTGCATACTACCTCTGCGTCGAGGGAAACTGTTCCAACGAAATAGTGAACTGATCTTTATATGATAAAAGTTTTAAAGGATAAAGATAAAATCGCAATAAAAATGCTTTTAAGTTTTTTATTTATGTCTGCTTTGGTCTTCTAGTTTACGTTTAAACCCTGCTGCCTTTGTGAGCTTGCTAAGCGGAGCTTATAAGAATTTATGAAATACTTATTTTAAACTGCATAAGGCACACCAAGTTTTTATATCTTTTATAGTCGTTAAAGGGATCTTGTATCTGCTTTTCAAGGACAGGTGTGATAAGGTATGAAGTTTGAAAACTGAGGAATCAAAGAAAACTAGCTCTTCTGCTTTTACATATTAAGCTCATTTCAGCCTTTACAATAATACCAATCCCTATCCCTTCCCGATCCTTATATCCGCAACCCCTATCCCCAAAAGGCCGGCAACGCAACTAACTAACTCCTTTGGTATTGCGGGTGTCCATGGGCGACGCCGATTGCTTACCATCAGGCAATCCGTCAGCTCGTTTGCCGAACAACATCATAAAAAAAAATTGGACCTTTAAAAACGGTCTCTCCCATTGACGCATATTTATTAGTTGCGAGTGTAACCCTCCCTTGTCCTCATTTTCGTGATTTTAGAAAAAAAACTAACATTATTAATTAGACTTCTTTTTGAGATCCACGTTATAGCTTTAATGTTTTAAGTACCAATACTATCTTAAGAACATTTAATACACCTTTCCTAGTAGGAGATTGACACACACAGTTTGAATCTCAATCGACGTTGGAAATTCTCTGTAGTAGCTTACTGTGATCAAAATATAATAGACATAGCATATATCTAGCTAGCCCGTGCCCGGTATAATTTAGTAGGAACACCGAATCTGCATTAGGGGGTATTGCTTCGCCCCGGGCCGACGTGGCGCCATCGCCGGCGTTAGGCGACCGAGTTATTCTCGGGTAAGAACATGCATAGATATAGGTTATAGGTATAACTATATGAACTGGGACGAAAACTTGGCCATAGTTAGAAGAATTATTTTGATTTTAAAATTATGATTAAAAAAAACACAGTTTTTTTAGAAAAAAATTAACTCACGTTCAAAACATTAAAGAAACGATTTTGACCTTTCAACCGTGGTTATTCTAGATGCACTAGAATAACGATTGATGAATTTATTCCCTCTTTTTAAATGGATTACCGCCTAAATGGAGTTATTTGGCATAACTGATTTAGATGGTGTTTAGTATATTATTATAACTTTTTGTTTGCTATTTGTGCTGTGTGTCTCAAAGGGTTCTTGCAATTCACAACGAATTCAGAGTTTAGACAGAATTAACACTTAACTGCTATCAAAATGAAAACCAAATACTTTGACTTCTACTTCCTAACTCTCTTCTTACATTCGCCTTCTCAATGTGAAGCCTGTGGTATTCAACTGCAGTATTAAACAAAAGGCCTTTTGTACCGTTGAAGAATATGCTACATAAGTGCTGTAGCAACGTGACGTTTTGTCAACCCCTGAATAATGCTGTTATAGTATTAATATTGATTGCACGGTTGGTGCGGTGGCTTGGCAACTGGCTGTCGTGCAACGTGTCGCGGGTTCGATTCCCGCACGCAACAACTCTTTGTGTGACCCACAAATTGTTGTTCCAGGTCTGGGTGTCATGTGCATATGAAATTGTATGTTTGTAACCGCACCCACGACACAGGAGAAAATCCTAAAGTGGTGCAACGTTTTTTTAAAAAGAAAGAAGTGTATCTTGAGCAACCCTTGCTGGTATAAATACCGTTGTTAATGATTTTTTATTGAATCAAATACAGAATATCACAATATGGAAACAACTACACAAAAATAGTCCAAAACTCGAACATTATTTTCTCGAAGCACCCGACTTATAAAACTACATATATTGCATCTTACAGAATGCACTCCAACCACATGAAGCAACCTTAAAATATGCATATTTTAAATATACCTATCTCCCTAAGAAAAATTCCGGTATTAGAGACTTCCAAAGTTCTTTGTTATTATCGCAGAGAACACACTTGGCAAAGATTCGGCGGCGGTGAGTGTTAAACGCAATAATTGACCTTATTTTGAATTCGGGACAGATTTTGGTGTTTTTCGAAGTTGGCAAGTTTCTTATCATAATCTGGGTTTAAATTTTAGAATTAATAATACACATGGTTACGCAAAGCCAGAGACAGATCTTAAATGAGACGACTATAACAAGTTAATATTTTATCATTTACTAGCTATTCTCGTGCGGTTTCACTCGCTGCTCGGCTCCTATTGATCGTAGTGCGATTTTATAACCTACAGCACTCAGGAACATTGTAGCTATCAGTGAAATAATTTTGGAAATTCGACCATCGCTTCCAAAGAAGGCAGAAGCAAGGAAAGAAGGGGTAAATATTAGTATTGATGGATCCATCAAATTATAGTGGCCCAACGCAGTTTACTTTTTTCTCAGGCTAAGTTACTAACTGAAAATAGAATAATAGGTTTTATATAACCTTCTTAAAATTCTTAGTTTGTTTGTCCCAATTTAGCCAGTAACTGGGGCAAGGTAATAACAATAAATTTAAATTATGCCAGCAGTGGTACTAGCTATGAGGAAATGACGTCATCACAATTCGGACCCATAGACAACGGCTTCAATTTAAATAGATTCGAATGTCATGGAAATACGTGTTGATATAGAAATTATATTTTTATATCAACATACCAGTTCATTTTATGTATGTAGGTCGGCAAACGAGCAGACGGATTACCTGATAGCAATTGGTAAGCAATCAGTGTCGCCCACGGACACCCGCAACGGAGAAGTTACGAGTGCGTTGCCGACCTTTTAGGGATTAGGAATTTGGTGATTTATGGATTGGGGGAGGGTAAGGAGGCCCAACCTCCGGAAATCACTCACACGGAAAAACACAACGCTGTGGTTGTTTCACGCCGGTTTTCTGTAAGGCCGTGGGTATCACTCCGGTCGACCCGACCCATTCATGCCGAAGCATGGCTCTCCCACACTTAGAAGTTTCATTGTCTACTTGGTTAAAACAAACCCTTATTTATTTTATTATAAGTAACTATCAAAAACTAAATAGGTGGTCCACCGGATAAACGTCACAGGAAGCCGCCGATCTGGAAGCTATTTGGGGAGTCCTTGTTCAAAAGTGGACTCCTTATAGTATGTATGTACGTTGATGGTAATATGTTCTATGGGCGGCTTCTGGATGGAACGTATATGTATATAAACTTACGTTTAAGTAAAACTAAGTAATAAAAAGAATAATCTATGCAGTTCAATTTTTAACAAACCTATTCAGCAGCTTTTGCTGAGTTGGCGACCCATTCGGATTGGGCATGTCCGCCATCCCAGGGTTGTATTATTGTAACTTTGTTAGGCTGTTTAACTTTATTGTTTTGATTACCTAATTTTATTTTTATTTTATTTTGTTGTCCTGTTATTCAAAGTTTTTATTGTATTTTTTTTTATTCTTGTTGTATATTTTTTTTGTTCTTGGCCTTATGTCTCGGTCCGAATAAAAACAGTTTTCTTTCTTTCTTTCTTTCTTTAGTTTTACGTAAAAGATTAACAAACATCCAACCGTCCATACCTAGTTATGGTTACTTAAAAACTTTCGTGTTTATATTATCAGGTATTACAATGTTACGCTTTTAGTATATAAGCAAAAAAGGGCAATAACCTTTGTCTTTATAAGGAAAAATAGGAGGACTAGCGAAAATCAGGCGTTTATGCATATCGTGTCTACCCCTGCGATAATAAGCGTGATGTTACGCATGTTTATAAGGTCAACGAACAATAATACCCTTGCCCTGTGCAAAACAACGCAGTGAAATAGGGAGGGTAGACAGCGCAATCGATTTTAAGCTAACTTTGAGTTTCTTCTCAGAATATTGGAAAACGCCAGTTAGACTAGTCTAGAACCTTTGCAAAAGGCCTACTAGACGTTGCTGCATCTCAATTTGAATGATTAATGGTGTAAAAATGTGTTCAAAGAACAATTTTATGTAACTACCTACTAACATAAGAATTTATCGACATGTAAAGTTTCTCATAAAATAAAAAGTATCTGGCTAACATTCTTTAAGGTCCACTGACACTACAAAGGTCCATTTACACCATAAACAACGAGAACATGTGAGATAAACGTACTGGTTACCTATATCTGTCCTTCAAGTATAGGGTAGCAACATCACGTAAAGGTCAACGAACATAACCCTCCCAAGTTAAAAAGTCGCAACAATGTTTACACTACAAAGTTATAGTCCGACCATTTAATTTAGCCGGGTTTTTCGATAGGCAAGCAATAAGAGTACTGTTTTTAAAACTCTGAATGCACACAGATTTGTTTACATTAAAATTGTAAGTCAAATACAAGATAACTGTTTTGTTTATTATCTGTGCATACTTGAAAGAGTTTTAATACGCGTGTAATTTACTGTGTAATTAAGAGAATTTATTATCTCACGGGTTTTATTGGTATTTTACAATCAGGTGCTACGCTAGGCATGTTTATGAACAGATTGATGAAATGTCAATAAAATGAAGTTTAATAGATCTGTAAGCTTGGTTATTACAGGCTTTTAAATAGGTCGTTAATAAACCAGGAATATATTGTATAATATTTCATAATTACGACGTGTAAATATATGGACTCTAATAAGAAAATGCAACTTAAAAAGAAACTGGTTAATATAATGTTCTAAACCCAGTCTAGGGCAGACAGACATTTTAGCGTAGCCAAAACATTGGCAAGGACGCGAGCTCGTTTTAATGCTAATCAATACCAAGATTTTGACTATGAACGCTCACTTTTTTAGGTTATGTTGGTATATTGACTTTGTAAGTACACCTTATACCTACATTATGCACATTTTCAAATCCGACAACTACAGAACAGCGATAAAAGCACTATAATTACACTGATATGTAAATATTGGGACCTACGTGGCCATATATCTATGTAAAATGTTCAGGTCATTCACGTATGCTAAAGACACAAAGGATTTCATAGTTATGCGAATCAATAATTGTTTTACCTTTTCTAACGTCACACATCGAACATTTGAAGGCTTCCGCATTGTTTCTGTATGTACAAACGCTGCAATCCCAGTAATTTTCTTCGAGCACTTTAGACGGCCTTTTGGCTCTCCGAATGGCATTTTTCTTGTCCATTTTAACGCACACTTACGTCTAAATATAACTAGCACACTTTGACCATGATACTTTATATCTTAAACAAAAGTTTTTAAAGCACAAACGCAAAATAAATCGTCTGAGAATCATTATTTTTGTTTTACGTGCACAGAAATGTACACTTCTTTACGCCATGACAGATAGTCAATGCTGTGTCGGTAAAACAGTACGAGGGCGCCACTTTCTCCGGTACTGCTTTATCAAGAAATCTGTTAAATTGTTTTCACAATAGATGGCGTTAGTACTGACCTAGTTAATAAAATGGTCAAGCGTGAGTTTTTGCTACACTGAAACGACAATAAGAAACTTGTATTATATTCATTATTACGTTGGACTATCTTTACATTTTAAAGAGAGAATGTTATAACTTCTCCTAATAAAAAAAAAATGAATAAATACATAATTATAATAAGTATAAGTTCTGGCTTTAATATGTCCCTTATAAAAAAAAAAATGTATATTACAATATAGTATGCCAGTGATGCTAATTTAATTATAGAATATATAGCTAGTTTTCTTCCTATCTAGTATGATAGAGTTATTCCGTTAAAAGAGATACCTAGGTAAGAAAAACTTCTAATTAACTAGTAAGAATACTTAAACTCGCTTTACCTTGAAGCAACTAAACACAACTACAACACACACAATACAACTGCATATTTGATCAAACCAAACAAAAATTCTCTCATTCAGAAATCAGAAACATGATCAACGGAACTACCGAACATTCTTACAACGAATCGCACAACGAAATTAAAACTTTATATACAAGGCATAGAGTTTAAAAACAAATGCAAATAAGGACAAGCTACATGAGCGAAAAGGTATCTTCGTGAAGGCTAGTAAGAGGCAGTTCTAAGAAATTACGACCTTTTTTTAGGCAGGACGAACGCAACTATGTGAAATTTCTTTACCTGAGACATTCAAGGTTTTTGGAAAACAATTTGTTTCATATCTACCCACCTAGTTCCTTAAAGGTTGTAGTTAAAGATGGGAGAGTATGTAGGTACCTACGTAGAGCTATAGTATGCTAGCTAGAGTATGTATTTTTTTTTTTTTTTTTTGTTAGAGGTATATCATCAAATCACCTTCGCTCAGGGTATGGCGAGAGAGGGTGTCAGACTCTTGGTGACTGACTAATCCCCCCCCCCCTATTCCTTCTCTTGCTCTGGGCCGAGGCCGCGGTGCCTCATTGCGCTTAACCCTCAACCCCGGCTGACCATCAGTCCTATAGGGCCCCGTCTGTTGTAGTCCATTGGCTCTTCGAGGTGCGCGCGGAACGCTACGCGCAGACCCGCGTTTGCGGTGGCCGGAGATAGTCTCTCGATGTGCATTATGTGCTGGCCTATATATATGTATAGAGAACAATGGGAACTATTTAGAAGATGTTCAATACCATTATTTAGAAAGCTGGGTTCCGGGCAAGATAAGAAAAAAGAAGGAAACGAGGTGTATTTTAGCCAGTAGCTACTAGCGATCCACCACGGCTTCGCACGGGTGGCTGGTACTAAATTTCTCCACTATTTAATGGATGCTTTTAAGTATACATATAAAAGGTCCTCTTCAATCAATTTATCTATTAACTAGCAACTCTCACGCGCGGTTTCACCTGCTGCTCGGCTCTATTTAATCGTAGCGTGATGTTTTATAGCCTATTAATAGCACTCATGAACATTGTAGCTATCTATCTATAAGTGAATTTTGGCAGTCCGACCAGCGGCAGCGGTTCCAAGGATAACCTCCTTCCTACATACAAACATACAAAGTTACAAATTTTACCTCTTTATAATATTAGTTTAGATAAAACCGCATCACACACAGGTACTTATATAGGAGTAGGAAAAGCGATATTTTTTTATATATAATGTATCTAGTGCAAATTAAATAAAATGTATAGACTTTAGTCTATCAAAATCCTATATTATGTAAATACGTATTTCCTTAAGCAACTTATTCGTGCCAGTTGACGATCGAGGATGCATCTGGCAGAAGTATCGGCTTTCGCACTAAAGGAACTTCTACGTCAGAATGTTATGAACAAAAACGTTACAAGAATTTTACAAGAAAAAACTATTTTATATATACATATATGTATAAGTAAACACGCAGGCAGGTCAACCTACACCCTTCAGTCAAATTAATCGAATGGATTTTTAACTTTGTACTTTTGTAATACAGTCGAAAATCCAATGGAAATAATTACAAATTGGAGTACGTTGACTTGCTAGTCGCGGTACCTAAGTATGTAGGTACCACAAAAAATATGTTCGCATGAGCGCTTCAGTATTGACGTCATTGTAGCCATTTGCCTTCCTGTTACAAGGTTTCCATTTTACTCCATGCTATTTCATGGTTCTTCGTGATCCCTGGAGTATAGAGACAAGGAGTGCGCCCCAGGGTGAGGCGTGAGAGAGTCTCATACTCTTACTGACTTCCCCCCCGTTCCTTTCTCCTGCTCTAGGCCGAGGCTGTGGTACCTCATTGCGCTTGGCCGGCGACCCCGGCTAGACATCGGCCCTATTGGGCCTCATTAATTTGTGGTTGTCTATAGGATAGGCTCTTTGAGGCGCGCGCGGACTACGGGCCGTACAGTCGGATATGATTCTGGTCGCAAGCAAGCTACCCTTGCTATTCGCGCGACGTAACCTACGCTAAACTGCCCTTCAAAAAAATCCACCTGTTTTACCAATTATACATTTTAAGTGTGGGAGAGCCATGCTTCAGCACGAATGGGTCGGCTCGACCGGAGTGATACCACGGCCTCACAGAAAACCGGCGTGAAATAACCACAGCGTTGTGTTTCGCCGTGTGAGTGAGGTTACCGGAGGCCCAATCCTTCCCCTTAACGGACCCTTCCCCAATCCCTAAATCTCCAAATCCCTAATCCCTAAAAGGTCGGCAACGCACTCGTAACTTCTCCGTTGCGGGTGTCCATGGGCGGCGTTGATTGCTTCATCAGGTAATCCGTCTGCTCGTTTGCCGGCTTATTACATTAAAAAAAAATACACCTCGTGTGCCCTTATAATTCGTTTTTAAACGTTTTTTTTAACTAAGTTAGGTACTTATTGTTTTGATGCTATGTTGTTTATTTAGATTTTGTAAAGAAAGCAGAGAAGTATTTTGCTTCTTGCATAGTAATATTTCATCAGCTTGATTCTCGTAGAAGTAGGTTAGTAGGTACCTCTTACCTCTATAGTCTGTGGCATAAACGTTTATGGAAATATACATAGTTTGTAGCGTGACTGTCCTTGTTTTACATACTGTGGGGCTGGTAAATCCTTGGAGTGAACGCCGAGCCATTTTCTGTCCGGTATTAAACGTAATCTGCAAGTCTTTAAAATAAGGTTCTATAAGTATTCTTTTTTTCAGAGAGGAAAATCGTCGCGGTTTAAGACGGAATATGTTAGATTTACACCCGGTTTCCGAAAGGCCGATCAATGTTAAAATCAATTTAATCTCTTGTCAAGTCATCTGATTGGTTGACTGAATTATCAACGACCAATCAGATGACTTGACAAGAGATTTAACAGGAGATTGGTTAATTTTAGCGTTGACAAGCCTTTCAGAAGCCGGGCGTTAGTGACCAATTACCAACCTTTTCCACCTGCTCCATGCCGGTTCCTTTCGGCCAGTGCTGAATGCTAAATTATTTTGTGCTTGCTCCAACAACAGCGTATAAAAATTCTCCTTCTGACGTCTTGCTTAAAAAAAAAATGCTAAATATTTTATTTTCAAATCATCGTAACTTAAATACTTTTACTAAAATTTCATTAGAAATGTGCTAAACTCGGACTATATACAAACCCGGAAAAACAATTTATACTTAGATAACACAAAAAATGTATTCCTGCGTTTGGCAAATCAAACCTTTCTTGATCAGCATTCGATATTATGATCTATCAAAAACTGAATAAAGTCTACTTTTACACGGATCGTTGGTTCTGTTATGAAAGATTTTGATATATAAAAAATGGTTGGGAAACATTTCAAAATAAGATGAAGCCGTGAAAAATGTTTTATTCTCTGAAGTTTCAGGTTTTGTGCTATTGTTAGTCGGGTATCGCAACTTGATTACGTGGTTGATAACGTTTCATAAGATTTTTTACATTAATAGCTACTTACAGCTTGCCAAGAAACGAGTATTAAAACTTTTCTATTTAAATTATTGCTGTAACTTTTGAAACAAAAATTATTTATACTTATTTAAATGTCAAAAGTATCAAGACTGGTTACCTCACAGTATTTGGGGTGGCTATATGATAGAGGCTTGGCTTAGTATTGGCCTTTTTGCCAAGCTGTATGCTGATTTGTTTTATATGATTATTAAAAATTTTTTTTTTACAAATTCGCAATCAAAAGTTACGTGTAAGAAAATCAATGTTTTGAAATAAACTAACTAACCAAAACAAAACAAACCTGTTAGTGCTAGGCACGTAGAACTAATAAATATAAGCTAGATATTGGAAAGGTAACGAAATTACAACATCTAATAGATCTAGTACTAAAGTCTAAAGTACCTAGATACAATCGACAAAATTTTTAGCACCTACCTAGACATAGATAACATTCAGTTGTTTTTTTTATGTATTACTGTTTTTACATAATGTAACATCATATATCACTCCATAGTATAAAACAAAGTCGCTTCTTTGGTTCCTATATCCTTAGGTACGCCTTAATCTTCAAAACTACACCATGGACTTCGGTGTGGATTGTGGGGTGAACAATACTGATGCAAAAAAAAGAAAAAATACTTACCTTTTACTTCCACCTGCCTATTATAGAAAGTCTTCGTAATATAAATTCGATTACTAAATGTAAGAGGATTCTGAAAAAAACACCGCTAAATAAATAAACATAACTATTTATTTGTACTAAAGTCTATGACTCTGAAATTCACTGAAATATTGGAAACTAATTTATCGACAACTTACTCACTTCAATTACTTAAGTAAAGCTTTAGGTACTAGTTTCAAATCACAACGGGACTCTTATCATGAGCAGCGCCAAATCGCTATTTTCGATAAATTTTGTATTTTCACGATAATTACTATTCGAGGGTATAAAACATTTGTCGATAGTACTTCTACGCTTAAGGTAATCTATAAGAGAAAGTGTTCAGTTGATAGTGGCACTTTATCTTCCATACACCGTCTGTAGTAAGGCGAAGTAGGACCAGGCACTGCTCAACACCTGTGGACAAAGGAGGTTGAATTAAATTATCTACAAACTATAAATCCGTGTCAAATATATTAAGATTAAAGAAAAATATTGATAGTAATTGTTATAAGTCTGGAACTAAGTATGCATTTATTTTTTGAGTAGATAAAGTTACTATCAGTGTCATGATGGCCCTGAGGTTAAGGGCTCGTTTCTCGTGCATGAGGGTGTAAGTTCGAAACCTGGCAAGTACTAATATGACTTTTCCGTATAGATTTTATAACAAGAGTCTTACTCTCATGAACGCTTTGAGGTTTACGTCAGCGAAGCCATAGGCTGTCAGCTTGCAAGGCTCCTGCGCTCTGAAAATAATATCAGTTTAAATGTGTAGGTACAATAAAAAAACCAACGAGTTTTTATATCTAAAAAAAAAACAAATATCAACAAAACATTTTCTTCAGTCTCCTTTTTAATAATTTATCCTAGAATAAGTATCTTTACTATTTTATTTAGAAGGTACATACAGTCTAGTTACACCACCATAATTTGACAACATAAGACCCTAATTACGTTATACATATATTTGTCATCTAATTAATTAATAACTTTTAAGCCAAGCTTCGGCAGGAATGCATCGTCTCAAGTGATACCACGACCTTACAGAAAGTCGACGTGACCCCACAGCATCGCTGTTTTCGTCAATCCTTTCCCCCGTTCCCTTCCCTCCCCAATCCCCAAATCTACGTATAAATCCATTCCCCAAAGCAGTCGTAACTATTCTGGTGTTGTAGACGTCCATGGGTGGCACGGATTGCTTTCTATCACGTAATACACCCGATCGTTTGCCGAACTACAACATCATCATCAGCCTGTTGTCGTCCACTGCTGGACATAGGCCTCCCCAATTGCACGCCACTGAGCTCGATGTTCAGCTCTTTTCATTCAATCACTGCCAGCCATCCTGTGGATGTCGTCAGTCCACCTAGCTGGAGGGCGCCCTACACTACGTGTGCCTAGACGTGGTCTCCACTCTAGAACACGTTTACTCCAGCGGACATCGGTTCTTCGACAGATGTGACCTGCACACTGCCACTTCAGTTTGCTAATCCTTTGGGCTATGTCGGTAACTTTAATTCTCTGTCGGATCACCTCGTTTCGAATACGATCCTTCAGAGAGACTCCAAGCATAACCCTTTCCATAACTACAACATAAAGAAATAAAATACTGAATAATGTGAACAAACAGTAAACAATAATATCCCTGTTATTATCCGTGTCTGTTTTGTTAAGTTAAAAACAGTAATATTTTACTCAAACAAACTTTACCTGGTCTGCACCAACAGCAGTTGCTTGCCAACCTGAGTGCTACTTAGGTACCATTTGCAGTTGTATACCGCGTTGCTTACTTCGAAACTCTGCAATTAATAAATAGCTGTAGACTACAGCTAACAAAAAAGAATCACCTTTTAATTTCTATAATCTCACTGACGGATTAATGAGAATCTTATTGTTTTAACCCAGGAGGCATCCCTATTGTCAAAATTATAATAAATACTTTTTACATCGACAAACTTATTTTCTTATATTGAAATTAGATCTACCTACCGAGAGCAATAAACTTACATACAGATCTTAAAGGAATGTTTGTGAACTTAACAATTGGTGTGTAGGTACTGAATCAAAAAAATCAAATAGTTCAAGTCTCAATTCTTCTGTGTGTCAATACGTACGGCTGACATCATGAGATCGGCGAAGAAGCATAAGAAGAACACTTGCATCAGGGCCAACGATAAGAAAGTAAGGAATGTTACAATTGTAACAAGATCGCTCACTATCTGAAAGAGAATGATAAATAGTAACTGAGACATAATAATGTTATTGAAAATAAGAAATAATTCATGTGAATACGTGAGAAAAATCTCTACTATGGTTTCAAGTCACAATAGGACGGGATCATGAGTAGAGGGCGCGTCGCGTGAACATCGTTTAGCCGTCTAGCAGCACATCTTTTTCTCAGTTAATTCATTAAGTCATTATTTTCAATAAATTGAGAATAATGAAAATAGTCGACATGTTCAGAGCAAATTTATGCAATATTGCATCATTCCTTTGAGTAGTAATCTGAGAGGAGAAAAAAACATGAAAAATTTGATTGGTTATATGCAAATGTCAGTAGATGCCCATGATCAGTCTAATGAAAATGTAGGTACGGCTAATAAAGACAATGAAGTTACCGTCACATTGAACCCGGTCAGACAGATCACTAAGGAACTGGACATGAAGTTGAACAATGTCGACTTGGAGTAAATAAAGTCGAGGATTATAGTTGATCTGGAAATAAAAACTAAGGTGAACCAAACAGAAGACTTTTCCAAAGCATATGTTTAAGGCCAAGGTAATGGGAACTGATCGTTTGTAGTACTTATTTAACTTTTATATGGCATAGGTTGGCTAAAGTATTGCTGGGATTTTCTGGGACCGTGGTATCACTATGTGTACGCCGTATGTTAATAAGCTGAACAAAATAGGAGAAATTAATGTCACATCTCATAAAAACTAAATTTATAAGCTTCAATTGATTTTAGGAACAGAAGCATTAAAATCCATAAAAATATTTTACCGTATTAAATCTTGATGCCATTGCACCAACTCTCTGAATTTATCCCTAAACTCAGCTTCATCAAACCTTTCTCCTTTAGAAATACTTCGCTCCGGGATTATCCTCTCGAACTCATACTGTAGAAGTCTGAATTGTATTCTTATATAAGTACAGTATGTGAAGAATAAATAATCAGCGGCAGCCATAGATAAAAGCACCATGACTTCTGCAAAACGTAAACAAGTCCAGAAGATTTATGATTAAGAATTTCGAAATAAGAACACTGATGTAGATATTGATATAAACTACCTATATGCACTTAGCAGCGTTTAAATCTTTCCAAACGCCATATCTTGACTCACCTGACCAAATCTGATAGAAGTACGCAACTGGCCAATAAGCCAATTTGTAAGGAATGATTGTAAACACGTCCAAATACGGTAGCAACATCTCGAACTGCTTCGTCTTGTAGTACTTAACTGCTATCAGCACTATCGGCGTCATATCAAATACGACTATCATACAACAGTTTAGGACATACAAAACATTTATCACTTTATTCAGAAACCCTGCTTCTTCATCTATAATCTCTTGTTTATCAGCACACTCTTCTCTGTCATTCTCTTTCATCTCCAAATCTCTTAGAAGATTTATTAGTTCTTTAATTTGTTTTTCATACATGTGATGGTACATGCATTTGATTAAAGCAAGTAAAGAAAATGTTAAGCAAGGTGCAACACTGGTAACTTCAATAAAACTTTTGCCTTTTATTATACCGTCTATGATATAGTATATGCCAACCATTTCCGCGGTTACAACACAAAAGTTATTTAGGGCGTACAACCATCTATGTTTAATAGTGTCCATTGGGGAGACAATGTCTTTTTCAAGGTTTATTCCCGAATAGCGAAAAAGGACGCCGAGTTTGTCCAGTGATTTGTCAAGCAATAGTTGTTTGGGCATTTTAGCTCTTAATTTGTTTATGATTTTTTTTCTTTCGTTATGTTCGTCGTAGCAGAATGTTTTAGTGACTGAACATGGTTATAAATGTATCCATGTTTATATTATACGGGTGGTAGCAATCATAACATTAGTTTAGGGTAAACAATAGCGCGGCCTAGACTGTAGTATTGCATAGACGTGTCGTTTTATAGCTTGCTTCATTATTTTTTCCTTTTGTGGGAAGTTTTATAGTTTCTTTTGTCTTCGCAGTTAGTGTTAGTACGGTTGCTTAACTGAGCTGTTTGTTCTGTAGAGGAAATTATAGGACTTTTCTTTACTGACCTCAGAATTGTGGCGTTGTTATGTATTTAATATAAGTATAGGTACATCATATACATTGGAACTTGTAATCTCATACTTTTTTAAATTAGCGAGGAATCGTTTCTGTTTCAATGTTGACAATTCAAGATTTTCTCCCATCCCTCGGTTTCATTCCTTGACTATAGTGTCACTTTTAATTTTCGCAATCACGAGCTCTTTTGAGACTTTTCAAAGATTTGCAGTTATGGTTGCTTCATTTAAAAAAAAACACGTTGCCCCACACTAGGATTTTCTTTTGTGTCGTGGTTGCGTTTACAACCATACAATGTCACATACACATCACACCCAGACCCGGAACAAAAATTTGTGGATCACACAAAGAGTTGTTACGTGCGTATTTTTGAAATAACCTGTCCCTATCTACGTTAACGAAAATTCTTCTTAACTCTAATTGACCTTGATGAAATATCCTTGTATAAATATTGCAATTAATGTTATATGTGTAATAACATCGTATTAATAATATATTCGTTAATAGGTCCGTTCGTTTTAACTGTATAATTAGTACTAAAATCTATAATGACTCGACATAATTCGCCTACAAATCGTACGGTTTGCAGCAAACTTTGGGACAAAATTGCGAATTTTGTGTAGACATTTTGTATTCCACATGTTCCTGTTGTGTCAAAAGTTAAGGTCAACGTTTCATCATCATCATCATCATCATCATCAGTCTATAAGTGCCCACTGCTGAGCAAAGGCCTCTTCTCATACGGAGGACCTTAGAGCATTAATCACCACGCTTGCTCAATGAGGGTTGGGGATTTCAAACTTATAATTAGAAATTATAAGTCCAGGTTTCCTCACGATGTTTACCTTCACCGTATGTCAGTGGTGTCTAAATAATCAATCATAGAAAGTACATATAACTCTGAAAAAGCCACATTGGTACTTGTGAGGTTTCGAACCCACACCCTCATGCATGAGAAGCGGTCTGCTTAACCTCCGGGCCACCATGACATTTAACGACATTTAACAATCGATTCCCTAAATCCCAAAACTCCTTATCGCCAAACAGTCGTCAACGCTCTTGCAACTAATTTGGTGTCGGTGATGTCCATGAGTGGCGCCTACTACAGGTCAACGTTTACTTGTAGGAGTTGTAGGAAACTAGTAGCTCACCCCGGCTACGCTCGGGTGCAATGCATATATTAAACTATTCCACTATTTAATGGATGTTAGGTATCATACATATCAACCTTCCTCTTTAAGCATTGATTGGCTTAAACCATTTATAAGGCACCGGAGAAAAACCTGGTGGGGTCTGATATCAAAGAATAAAAAAAAGGAATCACCTTATTTGTTTCTTATTTATTCTTATAATAATGAGCCGGCATTCATTAACTAGTTTTTTTATGTAATAGATCGGCAAACAAGCAGACGGATTACCTGATGGTAAGCAATCAGCACCGCCCATGGACACCCTCAACGGATGAGTTACGAGTACATTACCGACCTCTTAGGGATTAGGGTTTTGGAGATTAAGGGATTGGGGAGGGTCGGGGGAGGGGAAGGATTGGGCCTCCGGTAACCTCATTCACACGGCGAAACACAACGTTGTGTTTGTTTTACGCCGGTTTTCTGTGAGGCCGTGGTATCACTCCGGTCGAGCCGACCCATTCGTGTCGAAGCATGACTCCCCTACACTTAAAGTTCAATATTCACACAAGTTCATTATATTATTAACAGTAAGTAAACTACGTACTTTAATAATAAGCCTAGTTTATTTTACTGAGCATGTTCTCATCCTAGACGATAGAAGTCGTTTGATAAATTTCCCCTCACAAAAAAAGGACTACCTACCTTACATATATATCTAAGTAAGGATGTTCTTTAATATCCAGTTTTGCTCAATCGTCCGTAATCGAATAAATAAAATGTCATAATGCAATAGAATTGCACTCAATAATGATATCAGCCTTACATCATCACGCAATGGTACTACGTGTACACGTGCATATCAATGTATACCAAACTGTCAATACTCTTCAATCGATTTCTTACCTTATTTCAATGTTGTAAAGGTTAAAATCAATTATAAAGTTCGATAAAGAAGTGTAATATGATGTGCGGTTACATCTGTCTCCAACAAATTGTTTTGATTTCATTCTGAACTTTATAATCAAATCACTACATAGTATAAAACAAAGTCGCTTTCTCGGTCCCAATATCACTATCATGTATGGTTTTTTGTGTGTGTGGAAAATCATCAAGTGACTTCTCCCGCCCAGGGTAGGGCGGAGGGAGTGTCAGACTCTTACTGACTAAAAACCCCGAGCCCCCGGGCCGAGGTCGCGGTGCCTAATTGCGCTTACCCCGCAACCCCGGCTACTATCATGTATGGTAAAATCTTTAAAACTATGATACAGATTTTAATACAGTTTTTGAAATACATAGAATTTATACGTATAACAATATTCATTAAATAGTGGAGAAATTTAGTATTAACATTGCACCCTTGCGAAGCAGGGTCGGGTCGCTTGTTGACCATAAAGAAGACATTTGATTTTTTTTTGTATATATCCATATTATGTATTTTTTTAAGCCTTGTGTGAATGAAATTGTAAATTTATTACTGTCATCTACTGCATAATTTTAATTAATAGTTTTTCCCTTTACGCAATAATGTTGTTTGTTTTATGGAAAAGGGGACGAACCAATTAGTGTAATGAATATTCATTTAATTTGGTTTTACCACTACAGATATTTAAATGAGACAAAAATTAAAAATAAGTTTTTAGTAAATACGCGAATTTATAGCCAGAAATAAATTAAGTTTATTTATTTAAAATTTTGGGCTGAAAAAAAAGACTTTTTAAATTATGGGAGAGCCAAGCTTCGGCACTAATGGGTCGACTGGACCGGAGTGGTACTACAGTTTCACAGATAATTTGCATCAAACAACCGCTTCAGGTTACCGGACGCCCAATCCTTTTTCTTCACAAAAGTCAAGCAACGCACTCCTAACTCCTCTGGTGTTGCGGGTGGCCATGGGCGGCGCCGATAGCTTACCATCAGTTTATATGTCTGCTCGTTTCTCAACCTATCACATAATAAAACTCCTATATCCTTCTAGCCCCTGCCAGGGAGGGATTTGATGTTTTCTCTACTAAAGCAAATGAAATCACAAATAGCTGATTAACATCCTGATTGTTTGTCTAGCTGTCTTTATGCCTCACTTGAGGCCTTCATCGTCAACGATATCATCTACTTTGGAAAAGACTGGATTAGAGGTGGTACAATTTATAGGCATAAATGTTGAAACCAGTTTTCACCAGTTATGATGTACCTAACAGGAGTTTTAGCAATATTCATATTTCAGGCACATTAACTGAGATCGTTCAGAGGCAGGGTTGGGCCTCAGCCTAGAGCAGGAAAAGAAACGGGGGTGTTTTAGTCAGTAAGAATCAGACCCTTCGTAACGGACGGGAGAAGTCATTTGATGATTTGCCCTTCACATTTACTGACTGGAATATAAAACTATATCCTTTACACAATTTTGCTCACACATAGATAGTCGTCCAACAAAATATTTTAAAGTCCTATCAAACCTTTTTTGTCGACCCCTCGCACTATACCTACCTGGATACATAAGGCGTAGATGTCAACCGCAGGCAATTATAAAACAATATGGTGCATAGCGTCCGTCATTAAAATGCAAACCGATCGCAGAAATCCGCTGAAAATTCTGATAACAAAATTACGATGCGACTCAATAATTACCCCTCGACTGTCTGTCATATGACTTTTTAATTAGTCAGCGTTATAAATTATACTCCTGTAATTACGTTTAAAATATTTTGGCAATGAGTAGGTACCTGTGAGAACGGTTTTCGACAATTTGTTACTTGATATTCTGTTTATTCTCGGAGTGAAACAACCACAGCGTTGTGTTTCGCCGTGTGAGTGGTTACCGGAGGCCCAATCACCCTCCCCCAATCCCTTCCCAATCCATAGATAGCTGAAACCCCCTTAAAGACCGGCAACGCACCCGTAACTTCTTGGTGTTGCGGGTGTCCATGGGCAGCGCTGATTGCTTACTATCAGGTAATCCGTCAGCTCGTTTGCCGATCTATTCCATAAAAAAGTAAGCATGATCCAAAGTCGAAGTTCCGGGATAAGCGCAGTCATTTACCGCGGCCTAGGTCTGGAGCAGGTAATGGAACAAGGAGTTTTTAGTCTGTAAAAGTCTAACAATCGCTCTCGTCTCACACTGAGCGAGAGAAACCATTTGAAGATTCCTCCCAACAAAAAACAAAATCGATACCGTACTTTTGCTGACTCTGGGAAACTATAAGACCCGGTAAAGGTTAGGTGAAATCAATAAATACTTACCGTAATATGGTAAAAAGACCCTATACTACACCCTGCTCCAAACTTTGTGACCGCCCTGAATATAGTCGCGAGTCCGAACTTGTGCATGGTACAGTCGAGTGGGTAATACGTAATCAACCGATTTTCGTTTGTGTTGTAGATTGCGTTTATTTATACTAATATTGGTTGATTACGCATTGCCCACTCAACTGTACCATGCGCAAGTTCGGACTCGCGACTATATTCAGGACGGTCACAAAGTTTGGCGAGAGCTGTACTATCTAACTGCATAACACGCCAGATGTACAAAACGCCATAATTCTACATCGGTCATCAACCCCGTTGATAATGACGGTTATCTCTACAAGATCTTAATGGTACAGGGTGATTCACTCGGCCACTGATGATACGATAGTGATCTGCTTTATATTACGCATTCATAAATATGTATGGAAGCTGCGAGCTTCCGTTCACGAGGATGACAAATGAGGCAACAGACTGTAGTCCGGTTTGAGTTACTGTCGAGGATTAGTCGTCAGGCAACAAATCGGAGGTAGGCTTATACAACGATGAGAGAACTAATGTTATAAATCCAAAAGAAAGTTTCCTTTGGAACCTGATAACGTTTCGTTTAGGTACTCAAACATTTTTTTTATGTCATAGGTTGGTTAATACCTGATGATAAGTCATTGACTGCCGACAGATTACAGTTGAGGGCTAATCCTCCGCTAGCGTGGCCCACATGGTGTCTCTTATGGCGTTCAACGTGATAAGCAATCGCACATAGAGACTGGTTATACCAAAACAGTTACTAGAAGTGCATTGCCGGCCTGTTGTAGGTTATTAGGAATTTAAGGATAGGGGATTTGAGGAAGGATTGAGCCTCCGGTAACCTTATTCACACGGTCAAACAACGCGTAAGAATGTGCTACATGTCGGTTTTCTGTGAGTCCGTGGTAGATATCACTGCGGTCGAGCCGGCCCATTCTTGCCGACGCATAGCTCTCCTAGAGAAAAGTTTCCATTCGTTTTTATTGTTACTTCACCAAAATTCTTCAATGCGTACGTCTTAAAATTATCGAATCTAATGGCACACATGAAAACAGGCGACGGAAAATATTTTGTACCCCTGTCCTTACCTTACGCCATTTTGAGTAAGTATTCTGAATGACACAAATTTTTCACGTAGAACTTACAACGAAGTCATAAAACGAATAAACATTAATATAAACGTTATCTCAACAGGATTGCGTTGTGTAACGGACCTATAAAAGTGTGGTAAAAAATCCAGTGAATTTGGAACATAGCTAGAACCATTAGTCATTCGGAGAGCGAACGAAATCCCGCGCGGGACGGGGCCTTGCAAAAGTGCCAGTTTTGTACGGGATGTACTTCTTGAGGGGACGATCAATTTCGGCCGAGAACTTTTTGCGGGATCTGCATGTTTGTACGTAGTACTTATTAGGTCGGTATTGGTTTGCTGTGAAATGATAAATATGAAATGGGTTGGTAATATGTATTATTTTTTCTAAATTATTCTATTCAAAGGAATATAATGAGTTTTTAATTTTAAATTATATTAGTTTGCTTACATAAACTTTTACATTCAAGCTGTGCACTAATATAATTTGTATTACTGTGTTAGAATTCAAATTTCATTAACTTGTTGTTTATTTATGGCGACGAACCATACATAGTTTGCAACAAAGCAAAATAAGACCAGGCGGTGCTGAGAATCTGAAAAAAAGAGAATAAATCAACACGTCTTACAATAGTTCATTTAGATAAATCTGTCATAGAAAAAACTTACCTTCATAAACGACTTAAGGTTTACTTCAGAAAAATCCCAAGCTGTTAGTTTGCAAGGAGTTTGTGATCTAAAAACAAAAAACAAATGCATGAAATTGTAATAATATTATCAATCTCGTTTCCGTTCACGGGATCACAGGATCCCGGACCTTTGGAAGGCGTCTGAGGGGCCGAAGCCAACTCACAGAGGCCCGTTGAAGAACTTTAATATAAGTGAAATGGGACATCAGCCGGCTAATATCCTTGTATGTACTATGAAAGTGCACCCAAGGACAATCCCCGGTTGATGCAGGACTATTGTGAAATGTGGTTAAAATTGATAGGGTTATGAATATATATAGGGGTTGCTATGGACTGGTGGATATGATAACTATGGAAATACTATGCCCCCTGTCCCTGACTATCAATCTCCACCTATCACATAAAGCTGAAAAGCTATATGGCAGATTGAACGCACTCAGGATCTTAAAAAATCTCCGGTTTTTTTATAGTCGCTATATTTATTAAGGACTGCCTCCCTTATGATCCTATGACATTACATTTAACATGAACATCGGGTGAGGTTATAATTGAAATTAATATTTTTTATTACCTTATTTGCACTAACAGTAGATCCTTCCCTAGAGATGTACCAGCTAAGTACCATCGGCAATTGTAGACAGCATCACTTACTTTGGTACTCTGAAACATTTTATTCAAGGTTAGAGCACATCGTCAGTAATACCAGATTCTGCCAAATTCCGACCGAGTGGACATCTGTACTCTTTTCTGGTTTAAATTTGGCATTTGGCATTTGGCTAGCCGTGCCAATGCCTCCTCGCCGCGGACTGTGGTACCAGCTATGATGCCACCGTCCAGCCACGGTATTGTTGGTACCGCTGCTGATGAGGAAAGTACTGATGCGGTAACACACGTGAGTACCCAGTGCAGTGGCGAATTGAGGAGTGCTTTGGAGTTAGCATCTATTATTTTATTATATCCAGGGTTGTGGGTGCAAACGCAATAAAGTACTGCAGCCCTGGCCTGGAGCAGGACAAGAGAACGGGGTGGTTTTTAGTCAGTATGAGTCTGATACTTCCTCTCGCCCCACCAAAGGCAAATGAGAAGTCATTTGATGATTTTCCTCCGCAGAAAAGACATTTCCTATATTGGTTAGACTTAAAACTTAAGTATGCTTCAATCTGTACTGGAATGCAACACACAATCATTATTGTAGTCAAGTTTTCTTCTTTATTTTATTTTGGCTTGATCACAATGAAAGCCGTAAATTTGCTATATAAGTGTCAAAATATTTACCGAATTCAACAACAGATCTCCAAAGAAACACAGAAAGAATATCTGCAACGCACTCAAGAATAGGAAACTCACAAATGTCATCACATACACGAAATCACTGCCTGCCTGAAAATCAAAGAAGTTATAGAATCACATTGTATTAATAACTAGCGACACGTCCCCGCTTCGCACAGGTCCAACTATCTCGCTAACAAAAGGTTACTTTTTCCCGATTCGTTCTACTTTTCTAATATTGATAAGAACCTTCTCCTGACAATAGCAAACACAGCAAAAAAAAGAATTAGCAAAATTGGTCCAGGCGTTGTTGAGTTATGCGCTTACCAACACATTTTGCGATCCAGTTTTATATACAATAAAGATCAAATAATGTAAATCAACATTAAATTCAAATCTTTTGGGTCTGAACCTGATGTCCAAATAATTAAATGGAAAAGTTTACAGCAAAAAAAAAAAGAAATCGTTCTTCTTTATTGTATGCTGAATAAGACTTAAAAGAAGCAGTTGCTAATAATTGTTAACAATATAAGAGAGCTATGTGGGACACGTTCAAAAATATGGAGGTAATTAATAATTTTCTAGTTACCAAGACATTGAATCCAGTTAGACAGATGAGTGCAGAGCTGGAAACAAAGTTCAACAGAGTCGATCTCGTGTATATTGTCTCCAGAAGTTTCACTGAACTGTAATGTTAATAGTTTTTTAATCATTTGTAATACACCTGCTTCAACGTTAACATAATTATCCGAAATCAATATTAGTAATAAGCTGTCCCGGCAAATTCCGTACCGCTTTCAATATAACCAATGTCCTTCCAAACCTTTCCAAGACTAGAATGAACATTTTAAGATCAAAATTACCCGAATCGGTCAAGCCGTTCTCGAGTTTTCGCGAGACTAACAAGCAGTAATTCATTTTCATATTATTATACGAGTATTCTTTTGTCTTTATCCATAACACTAATCGTACTACACATTAATAGATTTTGAATTCTCACTATAGTTTTTATAGTGTCTGCATCATTAAAAATTACTTCTTGAACATTCTACCTTATTAAATCCTGATGCCATTTTATCAAATCAACCAATTCAGTTCTAATTTCTTCAATGTTGGGTAAACGTCCACAAGTCTCATCATCAGGAATCAAATGTTCAATGTTGTATTTCAAAAGTTGGAACTGAACACTTATGTTTGAGCAGAATGTGTAGAAGAGATAGTCTGCTGCACCAAGACCTACTATCACCACGACTTCTGTAAACCAAGATAAAAGGATCGATGCAAAGAATATTCAGAACCTTGTTGAAATACGTAAACAGTATTCCATCCAGTATTAAGCATTTCATTGTTTAACATTATTAAGAATTTGTGAAGTACGAATAAGACGTGAATAGAAAAAACATTATCAAAGGTATGCGCATATTTATTCTTTAAAGACCATCTTCTAATGGTGTGGTTGCCCGGAGGTTAAGGCGGCCGCTTCTCAAGCATGAGATTGCGGGTTTAAAACCTGACACCATTGTGACTTCCTCCGAGTTACAGTACTTCTAAAGTTTATTTAAACGCCACTGGCATACGGTGAAATAAAACATCGACAGGAATCCAAAAGGTCGTTAATCCTCAAACCTTCGTATGAGAAGAGGCCTTTGCTTAGCAGTGGACACTTATAGGCTGATGATGTGAGACCATCTAATTATCTCAGTGTTTACCATAAGATCTTCTGTCATGATCATTACTTATTCTATAAATATTACTGACCTGACCAAATTTGATGAAGATACACCCACGGCCAATATTTCATCGTAAAAGCGTCGAAAGGATAAATGATGAGAAACGGTAACTGCAAGTCTACCTCATTAGTAGTGACATATATAAAAATAGTTATAGCTACAGGACCTAAAGCGAAAGCTACAATCAACCCGCAAAAGAAAAGATTTAGAAAAGAAATGAGATTGGTCAGAAATTTGTACTCATGAATCATAATGGCTTCTTTATCCTTATGTTTCGGACGAGCTCTCTCATTCATCTCCAACTCTCTCAACTTTTCAAGGAGCTTATCAACACTATCTTCATTCAGAAAGAGGAAGAAGCACTTAAAGTTGGCAAGGAAACTCAGTGTGATGCAAGGCGATACATAGGTCAGTTCTGTGAAACTCTTTTTGTTGGCGATGCCAGAAATGAACCACACCACGGCCCCGCTCAGGTCCATGTTCAACCATAAAAGGTTTATAATGTAGATTGCACGACTTTTTATAGTATCCATCCGAGTCTTCGGAGTAGATTTCACATTTGTACCCGTAGCTCGAAACCAAATTTCGATCTTTTTGATTGTTTTATTAATTAGCAATGGTTCCTCTTCCATTTTTAACGGTTTTGGTTTGTTCGTAGTTTGTAATGCTTGTCTTTTTCCGATGCTTATGAATGACTGTTCAGGTACAATACGATTAAACGAAAATTTAATATTTCTTGGTAAAAAAAATTGCCATAGAGCTATGAAGAAAAGCGACGAAAGAATTTCTTTGTTTTTTATTTTTTTATGTATTTCTACTAGGATGCTCTTATGGCAATTATTACAAAGTATCAATAGTCCACAGACTAATCCTATCCTACTAATATTGAGGGAAAGTTTTTGAGAATGTATGAATGTGTGTTTGTTATGCTTTCACGCGAAAACGGCTGAACCGAATTGGTTGAAATTCGACACTAACGTTACTTTTATCAAAGCCGCGGAAGCTTGGTAAAAATTAAAATGACTGACAACTGTAACAGCACGTTCTCTCTAGATATATATGTACTTATATCTCTAAAGATGAACGTTAAAAAATGAGATTTATTATTATATACTCCGTTCATAAATGTAATCCCGAATGTTATGTTTGACAATTATTAAAAATGTTTTGATATTAACACGATAAGTCACTTATGTACCTACGTACGACATCACTATTGGTTATTTATTGCTACCGTTAATCTGCTATTTATTTTAGTTTTCATGAAACACGAAAAACGTTTCGGCATTTCCGATGAAACCTCGCATTATTTATTGAACGAATATTTTCAGTTATATTTTATTTTAAAACTTTTAAAAAATGCGTGGGAGAGCCATGCTTTGGTACGAATGAGTCGACCAGACCGGAGTGATACCACGGCCTTGCAGAAAACAAGCGTGAAATAACCACAGCGTCGTTTGTTACTGGAGGTCCCAATTCCTAAATCTCCAATCCCTAAACCTCCAAAAGGACGGCAATGTATTCGTAACTCCTCTGCAGTCGCGGGTATCCATGGGCGTTACTGATTGCTTACCATCAGATAATCCGCACGCTCGATTGGTGGTTTGTCACATAAAATTAATATACACTGTCTAAAAGATTTCTCGTACAGTGATGGTCGTGTAAATGGCAATTAGAGTTAGAAGAAAAAAAACTACGAAACAATTATGAATGACAGCCAAAAGACAAGCGAGGTCGAAGCGAAATTATTTTCCACGACACCTCGTTGCATTTAATTGTTTTGTCTCGATTAATTTTGCATTTTCAATGTCGAACGTTTTAAAAACACGCGCGTGTAAATTATGAGTGATTAAAATTTAATTCCTACTAAATATTTAATATAGGTAATACAAAATATGGTATTTTTTTTCTATTGAAAGTTTATACGACTTACGTTAATGAATTAACCTCTCAATCGTGGTGATTTGAGACACAATAGAAGAACAATATGTGCGCAAACGCCGGCGTTCGCTTGGGGTTTTTGTGACGGTATAATTATCAAATGACTCACCCCACCGGCCCTTTTTTTTGGTGAAAGGAAAATCATCAAATTACTTCTCCTGCCCAGGGTGGGACGGGAGGAAATCTCAGACTCTTACTCACTAAAACCCTCCGTTCCTTCTCCTGCTTGAGGCCGGTGACTCATTGCTCTTATCCCGTAACCCCGGCTGATTCGCTTGGCGTTTGATGAATTAACAGACAGCTTTACTAGATTCAAGTCACAATTGAGTAAATCGTTATTTTCAGTAAATTTAGTCTTAGTACGCCTCTAGGTAGGTACTTCTAAAAATAATATATTTTTTTATATAGAAAGAAAATTACATAATACACGCTACATTTCTTTCAAATTCTCAGAGCAAACTTGGTATCTGCAATTGATCATCCCTCGCACCCCTATTCCACTTGTTGCTATGTCTCTGTGGGAGCCTGTGTCAATACAAGGATGGTGGGCATGTGTGTGTGTATTGTAGTAAGGTTGTGTGTCTCCTGTACTGTCAAACGATACTGTGCAACGTTCAGTCTCTTGTCTCGTCCCGTTTCAAGCTTTTGTTGGTTTATCTGAAGTTTCATGTCAATCGAGACCTTAGTATTAGAACTGTAACATTCTATTGAGTATTTATTCTAAGCTTGGTATTTGAAATGTCGTGTTGGCCCGGACTTTAGTGTTCCGGTGTTCTCATGGTCGTATCTACTCTACAGTAGATACAGTCCTGGCTTACAGTCGTGGTCGTGTTGGCCCGGAGGTTAGGGCTTCCGCTCCCGCTTCCCACTTCTCGATGCATGAGGTTTCGAAACTTGACAAGTACCAATGTGACATTTTCTTAATTAAATGTAATTTCTATGACTATTTAGACACCACTGACAAACGGCGAAGGACCACGTCGTGAGGAAACCTGGACTTTCTAGTTATAAGTTTGAATTCGTCAATCCGCCTTGAGCAAGCGTGGTGATTAATGCTAAATCTTCTCCGTGTGAGAAAAGGCCTTTGCTTAGCGGTGAGCACTTACAGTACCGCCAACGTATCTTGGCGAGTCTGAAGTTAGCCGATTAGCTGCGCAGTACACAATTTTGTTCCTAAAAGATCCATTGAGCAGACAAACGGATAAATTCAGACTCGCCAAGATACGTCGGCCTTATGGTATAGCCAGATGATGTAAGATGGATGTACATATTTGTAAAGATAAGTAAGCAGTGTAGTTGTGGCAGATTAAAAAGCACCATGCTTCGCGAATAGACCGGCTCGACCGGAGTGATACTGCGAATTTAGGTTTGCCGTCACATAGAAAAAAAAATCTCACACGCACTCAGTGAACGACAAACGTAGGTCATGTTACATTATTTTGTTATAATGATTTAATGATTATGTTATAAACATATAACAAAAGAACTATTTTATTGCGAGCTTTAGATAAGACAGGGTTTTTTATGTGACAACCTGATTGTAAGCAATCAGCGCCGTGCATTGACACCCACAACAACGGAGAAATTATGAGTGCGTTACCAACCTTTTGGGGATTAGGGCTTTAAAGATTTTGGGATTGGTAATGGATTTGTGGGTGGGGAAGGATTGGGCCTCCGGTAACCTCACTCACAATGCAAAACACAACGCTGTGGTTGTTTCACTCCGGTTTTTTATGGGGCCGCGGTATCACTACGGTCAAACTGACCCATTCATTCAGAACCATAGCTCTCCCACACTTAAAGGTTGAGCAAATATTTAGAAACAGCGTGAAATAGTGAATATCTTTCCTTATTTCCTAACGTTTAAAAATCTAATGTAATCGATCATGTCTGACTCGATTGATCTAAGATCTCTTGCTTAAGTTTTTCGCTTGTCATGACTTGTTTTTGATTCACAGTCATTGAGCATTGATCACCAAGCTTGCTCAATGCGGGGTGGCGATTTCAAACTTATAATTAGAAATTATAAGTCCAGTTTTCCTCACGATGTTTTTAATCACCGTAGGTCATAGAAATAAAGTAAGAAAGAACATATAACTAGGAAAAAGACACATTGGTACTTGCTAGGTTGCGGACCTGTAACCTCATGACTGAGAAACGCGTGACAAATATTAAACAGATTAGCGCAAGTTTGATTCGTAATTTCAATTTACATTACAAGTCTTTATTTCAAATGATGTACATCAATATCTCTCCATTAGATTTACTTCGATACTCTTAACTTTTCGCTTTTCGCAACTATTTAAATTCACACACTCAAAATTGAAAAGTGAACGTGTCAGCTTCCCACCTCGAAACCAGACGTAAAAGAGAAACATTTTCCTTTTAAAAAGCCAGATAAATCCCGTAAAAAATATAAAACAAGATAAATAAATTGACTTTGCGGGTTTTATTTTGAAACTGTGTGTGCACCCAACAATGCGAGATAGCTTTACTTCGACCGGTAAATACGAACTTTTGTGTCGTTTTCGTACAACCGCCGAGTGAATGATTAATGTCGGCAATGCATTCGTTCACCGTTCTTATTTTTTTCGTTCGTGCAACAGGTCGTTCGCAAGTTTTTTCGTTCATTTGTTAAACGTTTAATCTTTTCGTTTATTGAGACTTTTGCGGCGAAAATTTTTGCTTCATTTTCTTCCAGTTGTTTGTTTACTTTTCGTATTGTTGTAGATATGTACAACAAAACTATAAATATAAACAATCTGAAGAAAGTTTATTTATTTACTCACACTTTACAAACAAACAGTCACTTCTACAAAATTATAGCCGATCAATCTTCAGAAAAAAAAATACTACAACAGACATCTGAATTGTAGTAAATTTGTAATCATAAAAAAATTAATTGAGTAAAAAAAACCGCTGCTCATTAATGTGAGTCCGATTGTGAAACTAGTAGAGCTTGCTTCGGGTAATTCACATGAATATGTTGTTATTGTCAATAAATTTACTATCACTACTCAAAAAAAAAAATTATTTAACAGACTACGAATAGCCGAAATGTACAAGAATTTCGTAGTACTTCCTTAACTACAGCGTAGCCCGTAGCACCGAGTGATAATGAGTACAAGAACATTCACCATGTTCATTCATTACATTCGCACAAACGCAACGCTACGAGTGCTACGCGTCTCTGTGCTACGCAATTCTCACGATACTTACGTCGTCATTTTCAAAATATCTCAGATACTACTAAAATATGGCGATAGATCACCATATGTTTTATGAAACACGACATCTGTTTAGCGTTGAGAAAATGAGGTTTTAACGAATCTCAGTTTATGGGAAACAGGCGCGAACATCAAACAGCAATGTGTCGTGCAGTTTTTTTTGTTGTCAACGTTGTGAAAAAATCTTTAGAGGTTTGAATATAAGTAGGTAGATTAGAGTGTATATAACTCGTGGCATATTAGTATAGAGATAGTTTTGGTTTTCAGAAGCATATTTTTTATCATGGAATTATTGTTATTCAAAGTTAAAG